AGCCATGAAAATCACAGGCTAGTTTGGCATCAGTCAGAACCCCCTCAGTATAACCTACCTCAAAAAATGTTCTGGCATTAAAAGAGGATAGGGGTATCTCTGTCAACCTGAGACCAAGCAATAACGGTGAAGGTGGGGGATCAGGATGGATGAACATGTTCTCGCACACCCCTAATCCAAGTATGGGATTTTCTACTAGAAGATCGAGTGAAAGGCACCAACCACCATGAACGTGCCTGGGGCTTAGGTGCCTTCTTGGAAGAGAAGGCTTTCGGTGGCCACCTGTGATGGCTACCTGTTACCTCCTACCGCAGAGTTGCTCATCTACTTAGCACAGGTTGCTTGTTTGGCTCATGCTCTGCTGGTGGACGTCCCAGCGGGTCGTCCAGACAATTGCTGTGGGAGCAGAAGGCTGAGTCACCTTTGGTCTGACCCAGAGGGGGTTCTGCGTAATGGTTTGATGTTACTGCACTGGATTATTCTAAGAAGAATACAAAGCACAAGGAGGCCCTGCATGGACCACCATGAGGTCCTTGGAAGAATGGAAGGACCTTAATTAATCCATCCATTATTCTGTACCACCCGGTTCTGATCTGGAAACCATGCCAGAAATACTGAATTAAAAACCTGGTCTGAAATCCTGTCAGAAACCCCATATATGCACAGGCAGAGGTAGAATTACTGTGTGGATTGGGGCTCTGTGCTTCAGAAGTTCTCAACCCTCAGAGGCTCTAGCTGCACCCAGAGGGGGAAGCAAGCGTTGGTATTTCAGATACATCTGTGGGAATGGAAATCAAATCTATGCTGACCATATCACCACAGGCACAGTCTCTGTTACTTTGTCTTTGGCAGCTGTGAACCTCAGAACAATTAATCATAATCTGAATTACGCTGTCAGACTTTGATTTATGACTTTAATAGTTTTGATTAATTGCAAATGTAAATGAACTGGAACCCTTTACATTACTCATTCACTAACTGACTGTCAGTAGCTGAGGGAAATTTAAGATTCTTTAACATTTGGGGAACTCAAACAGTAAGGTTTTCTTCTCATTATTTGTGATTTTACCAAGGCTTTCTTTCCTTTATAACAAAAGAACCGAACCAGTGTCTGTTCTGGAAACATGAAGGCTGCGGATTTCAAATGGTAGCCTTGTTCAGCTAGAATGCAAAATGATTTCTTCCTAGTTTGCTGTATCAAAATAGATGATGAGGAAGGTCCTCCCCTGCCGCTGTACAAAGCTGTGGGAGGAAGAAAAAGAAGAGTGGGGAGCAGCATTCAGGCCACCAGAGGGCTTTGGAGCACACGTTCTGCGTGCAGAAGGTTGCAGGTTCAGTCCCCAGCATCTCCGGGCAGTGCTGGAAAGTGGCTTGTCCGAGCCCTGGAGAGCAGCTGCTGCCAGTCAGGGTCCATCGTGCAGGGCTAGATTACCCAAGGATCTCACACAAGCAGCTTCCAGAGGCCCTCGAGGTGTTTGTGGGGTCTGCCTGAGGGGTTGCCTGGGGTGACTAGATGGGACGCTTCGCAGTTTCAGCCATGGCGCTGCTGCTCAGGGCCACCCGGGAACCTGCTGCAGCTGCACAGTCCTCCCCTGCAGAGGAAGCCTTGGCTGCCTCCAGGTCTTCCTCAGGTGCTGCTGCGAGTTGCTGGAAACAAGATGGCCTCCAGCCCACTGCCGGGCACTGCTTGGCCCCTCCACTCCCACTGCGGCCAGCCGTCTCTCGGCCAGGCAGTCTCTGGCCCGGCTGTCTCCCCCTGCCCGCCCCACCGGGCACGCCACTCTCCTTGTCCTACAGGAGACCTGAGGAAGGGGCTTCTTCTTGCGCTCGCGCTCGCGCTCGCGCTCGCGCGCTCTCTCTCTCTCTCTCTCTCTCTCTCTCTCTCTCTCTCTCTCTCTCTCATACATATATGCACATGTATGTGGGGCTCATGCACAGGCTGCTGAAAGCATTACGCTTGCAGCTGGCTGGGCAGGGCCAGTGCGGAGCAGACGCGGGAGCTGCTTTGCCCCTGGCCTGCCTTGCACCACCTGCCAGCTGTACGGTGAGACAGGGAAGGGAGGAAGCTCCTCCTCCTCCTCCTCCTGTGTAGCGAACATGCTGCCCTGTGCAATGTCAGGGGGAGCTTGGCTGGACAACGTGTCTCCTGTCACTTGTCGTCTTTTAAAAAAGAAAAGAATTCGGGAAAGGGAACCTCCTCCCAGCTGGCCTGGGGTGAAGTATTGGAGTGATGGAGCCACTGCTAGGACTCTTCTTCTCACCCACCCCTGCAGAGCAGGCCTCTTCAAAGGCGGCCCCTTTCCTCCTCCTCCTCCTCCTCCTCCTCCTCCTCCTCTGCATAAGGCTGAGCAAAGTGCCTGTGAGCTGACTCCGACCACACGGGCCCACCACCACCCTTGTTTCTGAGACAGGTTCCTCACGGGTCTTGACCGGCGTTCCATCTCATCCGCTTCCTTTGGCGGGTAGGGTGAGGGTCAAGTGCTGCAGAGCATCAAGGTGACTTTTAAAATAGATCTTTATTTCAAACCAGGCAACAGACGTCCAGGAACTGTAGAGGGAGCAGCAATGCAGGCGATTCAGCTTCAACATCCCATGCCTGTTTAGGATGTGTGACCACGAGGAGGAGCATTCCTCTCCCCATTTGAGACGGCCCATGTGTTTGACCCCTGGAAGGCAAGCTGTTCCAGTCCAGTCTCAGCTTGGGATATTCCAGTCCAGCCCTCTGGAGCCCAGTTTCCTCCCAGTGGCCTTAACGACAGGCCCAGTTGGGAGGCCACCTGGAAGGCCCCAGCAGAGTTCTGAGGATCCTGTGTGCCTGGACACTCTTTTCCTTGTCAGAGGTCTTTCTCAGGCTCAGTTCTGTCTTGGGAAGTGAGCCAAGCCAGGATGATGTCCACAAAGGCCAAGAGGAAGGCCGTAGGTCAGTGAGAGAGCGCAGGTTTTGTGGGTAAGGATCCCAGGAGTGCATGCCATTCCCTCCAGGTGGGGCAAATGAAGAACTCCTGATGAAACCTGTTCGGGCCGTTGCCAGTCAGGTCAGCTATAATGGCCTGGACAGACTAAGGTCTGATTCAGCACAGGGCAGCTTTCTGCTCTCATCTCAGCCTTTTCTGACCTGTAGACTGCTGGCATGCTGGCCTGGGATGATGGGAATTGTACTCCAGTGCATCTGGAGGGCCCCAGGGTGGGGACTACAAGGGTCTCTCTCTCTGCAGCATAGTACTTAACGCATAAAGCAACACGGCAACTCTTGTCAACAAGTTGGGTTCACAGCTTTCTTGGTGTTCCGGTTTAATTTTACTTCCTTCACTGATGTGTTTCCTAAATGTTAAGGTTGTCTTTGCAGACACGGCAACACACTGCCTTGGCACACTGTCTTTTCTTGCACTGCTTGTTCGGGTCACAACCTCTTTTCCTGAGCAGCACGTGGTATGGTTAAAGTGCAGCAAGACGGAAGCACAGCGTTTCAATCTTTTTGGAGTTGTCTGTACGGAGAGGAACGCAAGTAAGGAAATAGCCGAAGGGCGACTTAAGGGGGACTTCAAGCCCATCATCACCGAGACACAGGATGCTGCAAAGGAGCAAATGTACCATCTGGGACCCGATTTGTTCTTTACACTGCAAATCAAATTGCGGGTGGCTGCAGAAAGCATTACCGTGGCAATAAAATGCCTTTAATGTAGTAAAGCCAGAACGTCTAGGAAATTGTTTGCACCAAAATGGATATTGTTTTGAAATGCTCTCAAGGGTCACAGCACTGCTTCCCAGTGCTGGTTCATGGTGGATGGCCATTGGGTGGCTTTGCACACCGAAAGCTGACAAGCAAGTGCAATTAGGAGCTCAGGAGCTAATCCGTTTTGTAGAGCAGGTTAGCGCTGTAATCTGGTTTTGAGAGGATTGCTTTCCTGCTCCAAATATGTCAAGATAATCTGATACTTTCTAATTGTTGGTACGCTTCCTTGGTCGTTTACCTCTCTGGTTTGCTATAAAATTGGCTGCAAAGAAGCTTTCCGTTTCCTTCTTAGGCCTGGTTTATTGCTCCCTGCACCTCCCTACCTTTGTCAATCTGTATGGGAAGAACAAAGGACAAAGACAAATGTTCAGTGGGAAAGGAGGGCAGACAGATTGTGTGGGATAAGGCAGAAATTTACAGATAAGGCAGAAATTCGGCATTGTAGGGGGAAAAAGCCTGTGGAGTGGGTATGGATTTGAGGAACAGTGTTGACCAATCTAAGCCAATGAAAATATAAATGGTTGCCTCACTGGAGTACTCAGGGACAAGCACTGAAGTGTGGTTGTAGAAGGGTGGGAGCCTGGGGTCAGACTAGATGGCCCAGGAGACCCCTTCTGACTCACTCAGTTTCTGTGTTTCTAAGACTAAGGAGAAAAAGGCTGCAGTTGCTGAGGTGGAAGATGGTACTCTGTGGACCAGAGTATGGATCACAAAAAGGGCTTCATGATATTGGGAAGTTCTGCAATATTGCCTAGCCGGAGGTAGTATCATTGCTAGCAGTTCAAAAATAAGGAGCATGATTAAGAAAACAGAACATTTGGAAAGCAAAGCCATTAGGATGGTGACAATATAAATGCAACACGATCATGGCATGCACTTCACACTGTTCGCAACATTTTCAAAATGGGGAATTAGCAATGTAAAATAAGTGAAGAAAAATAGTTATAAGCTTTATTTTCCCCTTGAAAATAACATTTATATGCTTCTATCAATTGTGATCCTTCTCTTCTCCTGACATCTGTTGAACCAAGTATATAATAAGCCAAAGGATATGATTGTAAAACATTTAGGCACATTTCTTCAAAACAAGATAGTTTTAAGGTTTGGCACTTTAAAATTCCCTAAGTACTCTGCTTATTTGCAAACTTGCTAGTGTTTAAAATGTAGATGATTTCCTAGGAGAGCCTTTTCCAAGCCAGCTTTGCACTCATAAGCTACAGCAAAAAATGTGCTCTGAATGGCCTGTGTTTTAACTCTGTTGTTTCAGAACAAGATCATCTTAGATCCCATGACATTCAGTGAGGCTAGATTCCGACCGTCCCTTGAAGAGAGGCTGGAGAGCATCATCAGCGGTGCGGCGCTCATGGCGGACTCATCCTGCACTCGCGATGACCGGCGGGAAAGAATCGTGGCGGAGTGCAATGCCGTACGACAAGCCCTGCAGGACTTGCTTAGTGAATACATGAATAATGTAAGTGCAGCACTGGTTTTGATCTCTTTACCCTCCGTGGTTTGTTAATCCGTTCCTCAGGTGTGCTGAAAGGGTGTTGTTGCGTGTCCATGTGTGCACAGGTGTAGATGCAGGTAAAACTCTGGTGGTTCTGATTCCCTCTTCCCATCGCACAGGCATGCACAGCATCCAGTAGTTTAAGGTAAATAACCTACGGGAGTTCTCACCTGGGGAACTCCTGGACGGTTGCCTGTGAGCTGCTTGGAAGAATGGTTGGCTATAATCGCAAGTTTACCATAGCGATTTGTTTGCTGATGTGATCTCCTGACTGGTTGACCGAATGGTCCGTGTCCTGGTGTGAGTATGGCCAAAATATGAAACAGGTGAAGGTCTTCTTTTAAAGGATTCATTCTCGAGAATAACTGGCTGCCAATGGATCGTTCCAGATGGCACAGCTGAGCAGTCCTCTGTTGGCCCTTTTATACATTGATCATTAAAGGGTTGCACAGAACACAGATAACACTTTCCAAAAGGTTACAGAAGTGAAAAGTTGCAATGGCACAATCTTTCTCACTTGCATACGAAAGCAGATGTTCCAAAGGAGATGGGAGGATGGGGTGCTATTCCAGAGAAGAGGAGGAGGATGGGGTGGGCTGGTGGGAATTGCCCATTGTTTGAACTGCTGTTATCTGTCAAGTGCCAACCAGATTTCTTTGGACCGGTGCCTGGTCAGTGTCAGCTACATTCCAAGGATGCACGCTTGCTGATTTCTAGAAAAGAGGCCTTTTCTCTGGCCTGGTTATGTGGCAATGATTGCATGATTTAACCAATGAAAGCTCTACCTATTGCTTTGTACATTACCCTGAAAGTAAATTGTGTTAGGAGCTCAGCTCAAGGAGTTAACCATCTTGCACTGTATGTGTTTATCTGTCTATATTTCAAGAAAGCCCAATTGTTGTTGTGAAATGAGTTAAGTTATGCTAGAGTTGAGGTGTATAGACTGTCAAGATATGCAAATCAGGTAAGAATTCAAATTATGGTCTTCTCTTCTCTTCTCTTCTCTTCTCTGCTTTTAGCCTTCAGTTCCCTCCATTATTTCCCATTACAACAGGTGTGGGAAGTCTGGACTTTTGTGTGGGAGGACACAGCAAACCCTTAAAGGAAGGGTAGCTGATTGCTAACAGTCTAGTTGGAGCTCTCAAGCAATGGCGGGGTCCGTGGGGTTCCTAGAGCCCTCAAGTAATCTCAGTCATTGTACCCGTGCATAAATGAAATATCCGAAGTATCCGAAATATCTTAAGTGCCATAGTTTGGATCTGCAGGAACAGAAGCAAGTATTTCTGTCAGCACGGCATAGATTCCTTTATGTTATGCGTTGTGGGGTTCTGGATAAATTCCTTCCTAAGTGGTGCATCACAGCAAGACACCTTTACATTTGAACCATTAATGTCTGTTTGGAGTTTGGTGCAATGCAGAGAGATTTCTTCACTTGTTATCTAGAATTGTGTTTGTGTCTATAATAACATTTTCTACTCAGAGTTCATTGTGGCTAATGCAATGTTGTGTTTTTATTATTAAACTGCATTTAAAATGAATTTTGGTCCGCTCAATGGAATGTATTTACATGGAGTACTATAGGCTTCTTTGGGTATTCCAGTTTTCCTGAAAACTTCAGGTACCGCTGTTAGGCCATTTGAATAATGGGGTAGCTGCTTTTCCCCACTTTTGGATTATGTTTACAAAAATGCATACTGTAGTTTAGGAGAGACAAAATGCATTGCAAATTGATCTTTCTCTATCCTGCTTCTCCCTGCCTCGTTCAAGTTTCCATATTCCTAAATTGGATATAAAGATGCATGAAAAGAATGTGTTATTTATTGAACTCCACTTGTGAAAATCAATCACATGCAACATGAATAAGAAATGGAGGTCTCCTGACTTCCCATTGCTTTATTTTACATGTGAGGGCAGGTGTACCATAATGTATCGGGTGATACATTTTCCCATTCTGGCAAATTGGGTTGACTTCAAGGAATCACTTGGATCTCAGCGTGAGAATTAAGAGGCAGAGATGGCTTTCTGCATTCTGGCAGGTGGCGGTTCAGATGTTTGAGTTCAGATGACAATAAGCAGTGGATCTCGGTTTATCTTGAGTTGAAAGCTACGAAGAGAGTGGGCATTGAGGGGATGGTGATGATGTGAGGGGTAACCTATTGGCATCGCTGTCTCTGTTGCCTTGTCTCAAGGAATTATTGCCTTTTGGCGGATGCTCTAAAAGGTCTTTTCCAAAGATGATTGATGGGTGTTGTGTTATTTTTCCCGCAGAGCCTGCTTTTTTCTTTCGTTCTTTTTCACTGTGCAACCTTTGTCAGAGTAGGAGGCATTTTCCCTTCCTTATGAAATGCTGGTTTTTGACTTGCTGGTGCTACTTTGGGAGAAACTTTGACTGTTGAAACTTTCAGCACACAAATGGACATGCACGTTTTATGTCCACACTAAGAGAAGATTAGTGGGGGAAGCATGGTTTCTGCTCTGCCAGTGGTGCTGAATCTGAATTAGCAGTGATGAGAACACCAAGATTCACGGTCCTTCTGGGTTTTCCGAATTGGGCATCCTGTTTTAGTACGCAAACATTGTCAATTTAAACATATTTATTTAGGTATATTTTGTTTTTGTACCGCCCAGCAGCCAAGGCTGCCTGATCAGTTAACAAAGTTTTCTGTTTTATCTGTACCAATAGGTCATACCAATTAGTTTAAAACTATCAGAAATATATGATTTCATGAAGTGCACCGATTTGACAAAGCTAAACTCTCAAATCATTATGGCAGTTGACTATATTGCGCTCTGTTTTAGATCAGTTTATCCACAGAGTATGTGAAAGAGGTTTCAATAGTCTTAACAGTTTCAATATTCTGCCCCATCCAAATAGAACCTTCTACAGGAGAGATTAAAAAAATGTGATCCTTCTATTACAGTGGTACCTCGGCTCACGAATGCCTTGGTTCACAAACAAATCGGGTCACGAACAAAAATTTCTGAAAAATTTTGACTTGGGTTGCGAACGCTGCTTTGGGTGGCAACCAAGATCGCAGCCATCTCCCCGCCCCACCCCCCCCACCGAGTGGGGAGATGGCCACGATCCCAGTTGCTTTCGTGCAGGGAAGGCATGCGGGATCAGAGGGGCGCTTCTGCAGGACAGACGGGAGCAGCAAAGCGGAGCCGTGGGGAGATGGCCGAGATTCCGCCTGTCTTTCCTGCAGAGGTGCCCCTCTGATCAGGCACGCCTTCCCTGCATGAATGGAACAGCGATCGCGGCCATCCCCCCACCCCCCGAATAGGGAGATGGCCACGATCGCAGTCGCTTTCGTGCAGGGAAGGCGTGCGTGATCAGAGGCGCGCTGCTGCGGGAAAGACAGGAGCAGCAAAGCAGAGCCGTGGGGGAGATGGCCATGATCGTGCTGGGGGCTGGAGGGAGATGGCCGAGATCATGCCCATCTCTCCCTCTCCCAGCGCGCCATTTGCACCCATCTCTTCCTCCCCCAGTGTGCCTGCGATCGCGCCTGTGTCTCCCCCCCCACCCCCCAGTGCGCCGGGATGACGGGCGTGTGCAGGGATGACAGGTGTGATCTCGGTCATGCTGGGGGAGGGCGGGGAGATGGCCACGCTTGTGCTTGGGGTGGTGGGGGGAGATGGCTGCGATCTTAGTTGTTGTCACTTTGCTTCACATTTTTCTGATTTAAAAAATAGTTACAGAACGGATTAACCTTATTTACATTGAACCTTATGGGGAAATTTGACTTGTCTCACGACCAATTTGGGTCACAGCCAGAGTCCTGGAATGGATTAAGTTTGTGAGCCAAGGTACCACTGAATATATTTGGACCCCAGCGTTTCGGGCCCCCGCTGAACAAGCAGTGGGGCAAATTCTCCACCACCACTGATAACGATGCTTTGCCAGGTAGGGAAGTATTCTAAGCTATATCCAGTCCTGAAGGACGTGGGAGCGATTAGCTGGGAAGTGTACATATATACACATCGGGCGCAATCCATTGTCCTGCATGCTCACAATCCCTTCTGGGCCAGCACTCTGCCTTGCATTATCTCTAGACTTCCGTGTCCTGCCATCTATGTAAAGTTCTGTGGGGGGGGGAGGGGAGGGAAATTGGGAAGGGAGGAACCTGCAGTGCTGAGAGGAATTGGTGAAAGGAGACACCTTCGGATTCCTCACCCTCCAGCACTCTCCTTCCTCCATTCCCAGTGCTTTGTGCCCCTGGAGAGCCAGCTGCCTTGGTCCTTGCTTTGATGGCTGCCAGATGGGCAGGCCAGGAGCTCACCTTACGGGGTCCCAACACTGAGATTGTTGGACTTCAGTGCTGCAACTCTGCAAGTGTGTGCCCCTTCTCCAACAGGCGTTGGTAGGCTGAGGGATTGCGGCTTCCATTGGTCTTTTGAAGCCAAGGGTTGGGGCAATGCTCCATCTTGCCAATCCTAGTCTCTCATTATCATGCAAGAAGAATCTGCTCAGGGCAGCCTCAAAGAGATGTCCCCCACGGCAGTGCAATTCTCTTCTGGAGATTTACCAAAGCCAGCTATTTTCCAGATGGACTCTGATACTTTTTGAGGGCTGAAGTTCAGCAGGTATGAGATAATTTTAACTGAATCATGTTGCAGCGGATTTTAATAACTATTTATGTTCTTCATTTAAATGAAACGTTCCATTAAGCATTGTTATCCATGCTGAATCCTGAGGATGCATGACATTATTTTAAATGTCAAGAACAAGAAGAAATCATGGCAGAGAGTTTTGAGACAGCTATTTGAAATAGTAGTTAGCATAATTACTTGCCATAAATAACACAGTAAAGGGTGGTGAGGAATGCTAAACAAACAACAAACTGAAGTAGAAAACTAAAAAAGGAAACTGCACAGTGTAAAGCTCAGCATGGACGGCTTTGTGTGGATGTTCTTAAATATCTATGATTGGAAGAATTAGGATGGGTTAACCATTTGCATAAAGGCAAG